TGCCAGTCCTTTGTTAAAAAGATATATCTAGTGCTCTTCCAGAAGAGCACTAAACCTGTTTACACAGGATATGTCAGGCTTTATGCAGGCAGATGAATCTGTAGGACCTAGGTATCTGGTCTCTCTGGCAGCCCAACCCAAGTTGGCCATGGAGGTTGGGGGTTGTGGCCAAGAGTTGGACAAATCCCAGCCCCTGACCATGTTACCACTGACACTGTAATTGAGGTGTCAAGAATAATTCCTAGTGCAAGGCACATCAAGAGGATGAAAAACATTATTCTGGAACTGTTAAATACAATGTTAAGCTGCTTTTGCAAAAGGCTGGTATGAGTTTGAGGTCATATCCTAAAAACACATCCTCTAGAAATTATTAGCGAGACATCTTCATGCCAAGGTTAGTGGGACGCAAGGATGAGCTCTTAATGATCATGGCTTTACTCACATGCACCTGCTGGGCTAAATATGGACCTCAGTGAACAAACTAGAAATTTCCATAGTTACCTGAACCTTTATTCTACAAATACATAATGGTAAAATTTCTATTTTCTTCTATTTCTTTTTTGTTTATGTAAATCTGACAACACTGTTTCTTCCTCAAATATCTTGCATATGCACATAATCTCACATTCAGAGAGGGAAGTTGCTCAGTCTGCAGACTTTAGGCAAGGGACTACATAATGAATGACAGTGCAATTTCTTCTATTCGTTTGATGACCTACTTTATTGCCCTATTTTTTAACAAGAAGGAAATCATGAAGGAATTGCTAGTGCTATTCATCAAAAGCTATTAAACTAAGTGATTAGGCATGGCAGATTTTGGTGGAAAAAGTAACTTCTATCCTATGAGTTATAGGAGATGGTTTCTTCCCAAGGGAAGGAGAAAGAAGTGCCAGCTCCACAGACAAAGTTCAGGAAAAGAATTGGCTCTGTATGGACGCAGAACCAATGTATACTGATAAACAAATATCTCTCCCCCTGCTCCAAATGTTCACATTTCCATGACAGAGAAAGAAAACTTACCCAGTGTGGCGAGCACTACCTCTCTTTCTGTCTCAACATTTGCTTTCAGACAACATAATGCTTCTTTTAAAAAATCAGCTGTTCATTTATTGATGGTCCCAGATCAATAAAACACAAATACAATACTTAAAAAGACATGGAAATCACACCTAAAACAATTAGTAATGAAAGGGAGGTGCTAACTGACTTCTGCAAACCACAGCTACTAATGAAAATTGGGAATCTTTAGGGAGTTGCCCATATTTGGTCTCATGGAAGGAGATTGGTAACCTCTTGATCAGAGAGACAACTAAGATTTCTGACAGTTGGGCTTATGAGTGCCAGATGCTACAACAGTAATATGTGAATTACTAACTTGACCTCTATGTCTGAACACACACAAGTGCATTTACAATATGGGAGACAAGTATATTTACCTATTGTCTCCATAATGGGTGGTGTGCCAATTCAAGCCAAGGTGAAAAATCTCCTACAAGCAACATGCAAGATGTTATAAAAATATCTGGAGACCACTTATGGGAAACCTGCAATTGCAGCATAGTGAAAGTGAGAAACTTTGGCCCTATCATTTTGAAAATCTAAATGCCAGATCCTGTTTAAATTTGACTAAGGCCTTAAGGGCAACTTCAGTGGAAAGTTTCACAGGGCACTGAAGACCTGGTGCTTCTCCTGGGCATTGGCCCAGGCTGTTAGGTGAGCCTGCCTTGGTGTTCCTGGTAGTATGTTGTTGAATTGTTCCTAGAGCACTGTGCTATTTTAAGTTATATTTTTATTTCTTCTGCACTGTTTTTTTTTTAATTGACTTGAATCAATGTGTTGTAAGGGTGACCATATAAATAAAAATGGATTTCTTAAGTGTCTGATAAAACTTTTTTTTTTCCGGTACTGAATGGACATCATAGACAATACCAAGTGAGTATTCCAAAGATGGGGTACCACCGCTAAAAAAGCCCTGGCTAAAATCACAACATTGTTTACCTCTGAAAGGAGAGGATCCAAAAAGTAGAATCAAGAGTCTCTCCTTAATAGCAGACTGAGAGAAGTAAATTTGAGCTGGGAACTATCCATGGCAGGAAGAAAAATAGTATTAAGCTTTTCTATCATATCCTGTAGGTTTTGAAAATACTTACTCATATAAGACAGCTGCTGTTTGTATAAAAATGTGCTTATTAACTGCATTTTCTAGTTTAGCTCTTAATAAAAGAAAAATGAGCACCAGTTTCAAACATTAGTTTCATAACTTTAAAAAAATGGTTTTAACTTCTTCTAATGTACTTTATAAGAAGTCTTCAAAACTATCTATGAGGTTTTAGTTCTGAATTATCCACCATTTGGGTTGCACAAAGGTTGAGATTGTATTGGGAATCGCAAATCACAGGCACAAAGGAGAAAAACAACCTAAATCGAGTTTTACAATTTCATCACTACTGTATTTAATCCTCCATATACAGTGGTACCTCGGGATACGAACGCCTCTACTAACGAACATTTCGGGTTACGACCAGCTTCAGCAGGAAAATTTTCCCTCAGGATACGAACTTGCCTCTACTTACGACCCAGATCCGCGGCAATTTTCCCGGCTGCCACGCGGTCGCGGCTTCCTGTGGGCGAGGTCGCGGTAGCAAGGAGACGT